GTTAGAGGAAATTTTTAACACAGATGATTATAAATTCGTTTGGTAAGTTTAATGTGTCTGAAATCTTCATAATGCAACTATTTAATATACACTTATTATTTCTTTAATTTGTAATTCAAGGGCAAACGGAGAGTCTTCAAGCTCTAAAAGCCGACGGAAAACTGACAATCACACACACGGAAGAAAACCTGATTTTCGGGTTTTCTTTAGCAAAGATGATAAAAAACACGAAATCACCTATGGAGAAATAAAGCCCCCTTCTACACCTAATGTTGTGAACAAAGCTCTGATAAAACTAGCCGAGTTCATGAAAGGATCCTTAGATGATATTGGTAATAAACCGGGGTTTGAAACGTTTGGCATACTTGTCAATGGTAAGTTAATGGACATTTTATCAACTAATCAGATATAAATTCAACAGGTTCTCATGTTAAATTATTTAGCATGGATCTCAATTTTAATGGTGTATACCGTCTTAACCAAATTGGAAAAACGATCTTGCCAACTGAACATGCCAATTTTCTAACTATTATTCCAGTTATTTCGAATTTCTACAGCCTATCGGTAAGAGTATAATGATCTTTTGTAATTACACGAAAGCATAACTTCTGATTATTATTTCTTTCATTCAGAAAAGAGTTGGCCGTGCTATTGAGATGTTAAATGCTCCATCACAAATCAATTCTATCGTAGGTTATCAAATTCGTCACCTCAAAAAGTTATATCAGTACTGAAACTCCCGCCTCCTGTAGTTCCCTAACAATTTAGCAAGTTTCATTACTCAATCACTTATTATTTGTATCAATTAGCTTTTGCTGGCTTTCTTTGGCTTTCTTCTTAATAATTCATTTACAAAAATAAAAGTTTCACTTTTACATTTTAACTGTGCATCAAAGTGACGAAACATGGTTTTATTATTGTAATGGAAATTTTAATCCGTCTATACTTCAGGCTTTATCTTTTTTTGTGGTGTGGGGGGTAGTGTGTACATTGAAATAATAAAAATACATATACCATATCGTGATTTTTGTGTACGTGATTTTTCCTTGCTGAAATTTGGTTATGTGATTTCACATATCGATTTAAGTAATTATCGCGCAAAACTGGTGGCTTAGTTACTGCGCAAAATCTGATTGGCCGATCATCTCGTGATTTATAGAAACTCGCCAGCGCCTGGAACTATCGAGGAACTGGCAGGGAACTAGGGGAGATCTCATGTGATACAATATACAGTACATCATGTCACAAACCGATTTAGCTGTGCATATGCATATAAATATAAAAATAGCATAGCCCAAGATATAAATCCCCAATATGCTTATAATCGAATAAAAATGAATCCGATATTTTATTATAATATACTTGTTATAAATCACTATAAATCGATAAAATAGCTATAAATCTCTATAAATCTCTTAATAGTTAAAATCATTAAATATGGTATATTCTGACCCCTTTGTGCATTTAAGTGTAACTGATTCACATATTAACTATGATCTTCCTAGAATGCGTGGGAATGAGACTCCATCAGATTGGAAGGATCGAATTTGGAACACATTAATGGAATATAGAAAAAATCATCTTTTAACTGATTATAATAAGAGATAT